GTATACACAGCTTCTGTGTAACAGTCCGCTCACCCGATGTTGTGTCAGGCACGTGTGGACATATGGAGGTGGGCTTACTCTGAAGCATGAAAGACCAGGCAATACAAACATGATTAAGGGGAGCCCCTTTGATGTATTTGTATCATAGCAGAGTTTCTGGAACTGGGAAACTGGATGCAGATTGGCATAAACCTAATTTTGCTAAACTGATGTGGAATCCTGTATAATTTATATAATCATAATTTGGGAGAATGAGGCCAAACCCTGTAGCCCTTATTTCTATCTCTGTCTTTCAGGCATAGAGACTAGTGGAGAGGGATGGCAGGCACACTGCGTTAATGCTTCCTTTCCTTGCAGATTCCCCAAATCCTTTTAAAGGAAACGTGCAAAGGAAGGGAGGAGCCTGATCCAATCCCATTTCAAGCATGTGGGAATCTTTCCATGGACTTCAGTGGATGGTGGATCTGGCCTTAAGTATGTTGTTTTTAAAGGCAGTGAAATAATATAAAATTATTTTATTCTAAAATTAGATACCTTATTAAAACAGTGTTTAACCATAACAGAAGCAATAATGTTAGAAATTAGAACTTTATTTTGAAATAGCGTTTAAATAGAGAGAGGGTTTTCTGACAGAAATTGTCCCAAGGATGCAGGCTCATAGGAAAAAGGTAAAATGAAGCAGGGTCGGGTCGCTGGAAAGTTTCAGGCTGGTTACATTAGAAGAATCAATGGGTGATGGGAAATAGTACTGCATTGTCTCTTGGATTATCACGCTGAACTACCGAGATCACATAAATGAAAGTTTCCCAAGGATAGCTTTTATTAGGCACCCAATGTCTTCCATATGTTTCCAGTTTGAAAAGATAAGCATACATGTAGCTTGCTTGTTGAGTGTAGATTTGCCTTCTTTGTTTGACTGCCTCCCTCTCAGAGAATATAGATCACTTCACCTATACATCTGTAGCACAATGGCTTTACATGCAGAAAATGGAGAATATCAACTTCATGAGGTAACGTTTTTAAGGGCATTTTAGCATGTCAGTATCTGTCTTTTATTTTAATTAGACTTGTCTTCACTGGGTCAACAACTATGCTGATTTTAAATTATCTATGCAGCCTTAGAAGGCGAGGCAAATTTCATTTACAGGTGAATATAACTTTTGCTCTGGGCAGGAGGAGAAAGTAGACCAACTTTAACCATGTACAAACTTTGAGACACCTTTTTCAGACCAGTCATGACTCAACTGCTTTGTGGAATGCCAGATTATGATTTCCGTTGAGGTGTTTGACAATACTGGTTGCCTTGATTAGATTTTGTTAGATCTCTGCTATTTTTGTGTATTAGATTCTATTTAAAAGATAGAAAGACATAAGGAAGGGAGTTTACCTACCTGAAACCACATGAAGCTCAATACTTCTTTATAACAGGTTTTAAGCCAAGCCTATGTTAATTTTAGACTGGCTGATCCATAATGTAATGAGATCTGTCAAGCACGAGTCATCTCATTGTAACTGAAATATGAATAGACATTCCCCTATAATAGCAATATCTATCTGCTGCCTTCCAGATAATGTGAAAGAGGAGAAGTGACAGGAATGTCCCGTTTCATAGTGAGCAGTGGTCACATTTCATTTTAATATGATTAGGGTCTATTTGGCACTTTAATCAGTGAGATATCTCGCATGCCGAGAGTGTTTATCACTGGACAGGAAACTGCAAGATGACTTTTGTTCCCTTCTCCTTATCCATTTGATCAGACTTTGGAAGGGTTTTGGAAGCAGGACTGTGTGTGTGTTTTGAGGTTGGGGCGGGGGTAGGGGGGAAGATGGTTAAGTAGTGTTTGGAATGTTTCCAGTTCTGTTCACCATTTCACAATCTAATGCTGTGAGAAGGAAATGTTGGCAGATAAGATGATTAAGAAAAGAGAATGCGGGGGGTCATTTCACTTCTTCTAGGAAATCCATCCTGTCTTTAACCTGGGTCCAAAACCTATTGTACTTCAGCCTCTTCCTCTGCCTGTATTTTCAGCTCTACCCCATCCAGTCTGTCTAAAATGTTGCGGCTAGCTTCCTCATTCTCACCTTTTACCACACCTTTAATTCCTTCACTGGATTCCTCTTCTGTCCATCTGACTACCTACCTACCTACCTGCCTATCTATCCATCTGCCAGAGCTGGGCAACACTTTTTCCTGTGAAAAAATCCAAGTGATTTTTCTATTGGAAAAAAAATGTTTGTAAAAAAAACAAACCTGGGTTTTGATTTTCAAGTTTTGTATTTGTGCTTTCCCTCTATTTTCTCTACTGGCAAAGTGGGAAGGGAATAAAAAAGGAGACAGTGCATGTGGTGGGGAGGAAGCAGTTTTGCATTTACTCACACACACACACACACACACACACACACACACACACTTTCTCTCACCTTTATACTTTTCCCCACTGGAAAATGGAGTGCGGGAGGAAGTACAATGCGGGAAGCTATTTTGCTTTTTTTAAAGCACCCTGCATACTAACGTTGCTCTATAAATAAAAGAATAATTAAAAAATGACCATTAATAGAGAAAAAGAAGGTGGTTTGGATGGAATAAAAGCTGACCCAGACCTTCACCCCTAAACTGGAACTAACCAAGCCCAAATCTTTCACAGCTCAAGAAACTTCTGAGAAGTAAGCTCTTCCTTGACACCACTGAACAAGCTCCCCTATTTGTGTTGATATCCTTTTCCTGGAGTTTGAGGCTTTCAGCAAATGTTGACGTCTCTGTGTGTCCTGGGCTGGCTGGTGTGTACCACCTTGTAAAGCTCCAGAGATCTGCTGGGTTCTGAAGCACCTCCCAGCAGGAGCCTCCTGATAACTTCTATTGTTCTCAGTGATGTACCTGAACAAGTTTAGAGCTCTGTTTGAAGCAATAAACTCATCTGCTTGCCAGGTGCAGCTCAGGCTTTGAAAATGCTGCTTGCTGATAGATCAGGTCTGACAGGATTGAAGTCTTTTCCCTGATAACTCTTCATGCTTGGTGGTGCTGGTATACTGCATGAATGGGGTGTGTGTGTTGGGGAGGGGGGATAGAATAGTTTTAATTAGTTTTAATTTAATTTGCCCCACAACTGGATAGTTTTAATTTATTTTGCCCCACAACTCAAGTATCTTTTGAATCCAATGCCAGAAAGGCTGTGCATTATAGATTTGTTCATTTACAATTATTTCTATGCCTCTCAAGTAGATGCTAGCAGAAAGCTCTGAGAGATGAACTTTTTTTTGTGTGTGTGCATAGAACATAATCAAGATTTTTACAAAACTACCACAGATTTTTTACTGCTGTTGGAAATTGTGGCCCCTCAAGTGAGACTGAGTCAGCCAAGTTCCATGATTAGTCATTAAAATGTGATGTACCTGACATGGCGCATTCCAATCTGGAAATTATTTCCAGGTTGGAAATAAGATGAATATTTTTACAAATAAGAGTAATTAACCATTGAAACCGTTTACCAAAGGTCTTGGTGGATTCTCCATCACTGACCATCTTTAAATGAAGATTGGATGTTTTTCTAGAAAGGTTGCTATATGCACAGGTCAGATGGAAATTTGCTCCAGATTAAGTGCAATAATAAATAAGCAGCTGAATTACCTCTAGAATAGAAAAGGAGTACCACCTTTTCATATTCTCTGTATGTATATATATCCTCTTACTATATGCTCCATTTTATGTATCTGATGAAGTGGGCTGTAGCCCATGAAAGCTTATGCTCAAATAAATTTGTTAGTCTCTAAGGTGCCACAAGTACTCCTGTTCTTTTTGCAGATACAGACTAACACGGCTGCTACTCTGAAACCTGTCTCTAGAATAGAGGATCAGAATTATTTCATTATTGGCACATAAAGAGTAGTGCTTGACTTAACAGATAAAATCAAACTTTGCCTGTTAGAGATTCAGAACTGGGGTTATTCATTGCAATATCCTGTGCTGGCTAATGCAAGGACTGAGAAGCATGATATACATTTTAAAACTCTAATTCATTTTTATCTTGATGCAGAATTGTTTGTGCTTGGAAGAATATTCAGAAAACTATCAGTCTGGAGTCTAATTCAGCACCCATTAATAAAATTACATAAAGCTAAGATAGTATGTGGTTGATGGCTTAGACAGAACAAGTACCATATAGATGTATCTGTGTGATATATCCATGTGCATGAGCCCTGTCTCTCACAGATCTTAGTGGATGCATGCCCTATGCTCCTGGGTTTTATGGTAGTTAACAATGCACCAAATTCATAGGGACCTGAAGGCTTGCAGGGGATGCTGTCCTATCTCACCAGCTCTAATCCTGCCCCACCCCACCACCGCCCCTTCTAAGCATTAGACCACACTGCCTTCCAAATGTTGTATGTATGTAAAAAGAGGTTCCCATATTGCCATGGGATTCTTCTCTGGCTGGGATACTTGTGTAGCAATACAGTTAACATAGCCCCAAGTCATAATGCTGGCTTAAACTCTGAAATTACTTTTTAATATTTTTATTATGTTAACTCTGTAAATTATTAAAGAAGTGTAATATTCCAGCAACAGTGAATGGCAGCTGAAATTCAGTTCAGTAATGATACAACTCATTTGTAGATAGAATCATGCTGTCTAACAGTTTGGATAATTCAAAACTCCAAAGATTATTCCTAAATTAAATATAATGGCCAACATTTCTAAGGTTGGGTGCCTAAAGGTAGGCACCTGAATGCATATTTTGACATGGAGGCCAAGGTGTTTAGGTGTCTAACATGCAGATAGATGCCTGTGGGATTTTGAAATCAATGGGAGTTAGGCATCTAGGTGCTTTTGAAAATCCCAACGGGTGAATATATCTGCACCATTAGGTACCTAAATGCCTTTAAAAATCATGTCCCCTAGGTTCTGATTCAAAGCCTAATGAAGTCAATGGGAGAATTTCCATTGTCTTCAGTGGGCTCTGGATCAGGCCTCTAGATATGAGACGCACACAGCTCATTGAAATATAAAAAGCTGCTCAGAGCTACACTGCTCTTCAGAATGGTGAGGGGCCAGGCCATGATCCTGTCCCCTCTCTAACAGCCAACAGAGAGGGCCAGGGAGGGAGGAGAGGGAACCTTCTTTGGGAGTAGCACAGTAGCTCCAATCCCTCTGCGTTCAAAGGCATGTACCTGCTGCATCCGACACAATGCCTCCTGGAGCTGGTTCTGGTGCTGCTCCTTTGTGCATGGATCTGTGCCTTGCAGGCACAATGGAGCCCATGACACTTCTGCTGACAGAGAACAACTTTAGACCCATTTGCTCCAGCAGGAACGGATCTTCCTTCATACTTTGATTAAGCAGAGAGTATAATGTATTTTTTTTCTCTGCCTGTTCCTGTTTTGTGGCTTTGTGTTTTGGTTAACATTCTGATGTGTTCTTTCTTCTTTAACATCTGTCTTCCTAGGTTTGAGGGGGATGGCTGTATTGTTTGCTCTGTTTGCTTTTTCTTTGTTCTGCATTCTTGGATAGTTGCTCTGGCTGTTTCCTCTTATTGATATTTCCTTTCTTGTTTTTTTTTGTCTGCAATTCTCTGTACCTTCTTTCCAATGTTTTTGATTTCCTTCTCTCTTTCTCTTGTTCTTGTTTAGTGTGCAATCCCTAGGATAGAACATTGGTTAGACAAACTAATAGGTGTGGAGCAGAAGCATTTAGAATCCCCCCAAAAAACCCCACATGGCCGTTAAGATCATAGATGCACATCCGAAAGCAGAACACACTGCTTGCATGGCTGGATTACAGTATGGGCACAATAGTCATGTGGCAAGAATCGGTGCTTATGAATCCACATGATGACATTACAATCTAGACTTTTGTTGTTTTTTTAATGGTTCTAGCCCTTTTGTTGCAGAAAAGGCTTGAAAACTTGACTCAGCCCCACAATCACGACCAATGTGGCAACATCTGCCTGAGTCTGCAGACAGCCTAAAACAATACCTTAGAGGTGTGTCTATTGCTCCATTCTTCTACGTGGGCTGTGAACTCTGGAATTTACTTTTTTGGAGGCTTCTGCCAACATCGCCCAAGCAGAGAACTGGGAGTCAGTCTAGAAGACAAAAAAAGGGCTTTTTAATATCGACTTGGCTAATATGATTTGAAAAACCCCTTAACATCTTGCATCCACAAAGTTAAAATATCATGTTTGCTGGTCATGGTGCAACCCAGGTTTCCCCTAGGTTTTGGAATACCTTAAACTGATCTTGACTATTTGACACCTTTATCTGATGTCTCCAGATCAGAACTGAACCACGTGGATGTGGGGGTAAATGAGGAGAAGCTTATGTTGCTGCTGCTCAAGATGTACCTATTATTTGGATAAAGAAAGACTTTGAACTCCAGTGCTATCGATCTGGCACCTTGCACAAACACTTTGGATTAATGTGAGTGAGAAAGGAAATTGCATTTGTGCCAACTGCAGGAGTGAAATACTTGATTTCCCCATTAGTCTATCAGGTTAGCTCATGTAAACAACATAATTAAATTTGTTGACACTCACCATGCTATATAAATAACAAAAATAATAAATTTAAGGATACAAAGACAATAATAATATAAAATTAGATAAGAGGCTAGGAGGGAAATAAATTAAACAAGCAAAGGTAGAATAATACATCAGTATTAGAGATAGGCCCACCCCTGAATCCTAATACTACCAATCTTTGGAGCTGGTTGGGAAATAGAATCTGAATCCAGAACTGAATTTGAGTTTCCCAGCCAGCACCAAAATCCCAGTTCCAAAGACTTCGGAACACAGCAACAGTGGGAAGGAGAAAAGGTTTGAAAACTGGATCTGCATTTTGCAGCTCAAGGCCATCTCTAATTAGAGTTAAGAAGCAATGCTGTATGCAGGTCAAGGTTTAAGGGTAGCAGCTGTTTAGATACACAGGGATTCTTGCAGATTATTGCAAAACATGCAACTGTGAAGATGAGGAATATGAAAGTGAATAAATGTCAAAGATGTTTAATATCTTGTAATATTTTTCTAGCTAATTACTTAAAGGCCTGATCCACTGAGGGTCTGACCATCTCCTGGGAGGTATAAGACTTGAGGGCATTCAGAATCTTTCAGGGGTACTTTGCTCTACTCTGGATTGGGCCTTCCTAATTATTTTTTATTTTTACATACTACCACAGACACTATAAACCAGGGGCGCTGGAACAATGTTTATAGCGGGGGTGCTGAAGGCCATTGAACCAAACAGTAAACCCCGTATATGATGGAAACCTCTTCAAGCCCGGGCGTGCAGCAACACCCCTACTTCTAGCACTTATGCTATAAACAGTTGAATGGAATTATTTTACAGTGTCTGAGATTATACCTGAACTCACTGAGGATTGGAAGGCTACACCGTGTGTGAAATCCTGGCCCCACTGTAAAGCCTGGCAACTCCCATTGATGTCAGTGGGGGCCAAGGGTTTCAACCCTGTGTATGCCTGTCAACTCATCAGCTGGGCAGGGGCCAGCAATCAACTGAGTTGCGAGACTTTGGAAATACAGGCAGTAATTAACAGAGGTGTGAAGTTGAGTGAAAAGCCTGGATCTTCATCTAATCCATAGTTGTCTGTTCTCAAGAATCATCTGAATGTGATATCCTAACTGTGTCAGAGTCTGCAGTTTCCTTTCCAGGATGGTCACTTACAGAAAACATGTTGACCCATTAACACCAGGATGTGGCATAGAGCTGTCACTTATTTGTGTTCTTTTACCAGTACTAGGCATATGAATATTTCTAGTAAAGGAGGGGGAATCCAGAATAAAAAGTTCATGAATATGTGTTTGAATATTTAAATAAATTCACTTTGTCCATGCTTATGCCTCTTGTGTGTACTCTGTCAAGGTTTGAGTAAATCTGACTGGCAAAAATAGTAATGGAAAGTGAAAACCAAAGTTGCACACACAAGTATTTATAGGTATCAGGTCTTAAATTTGTATTCAGAAGAATTCACAGCTTGAAATGTTGACACTGATTTCCAGCTATGAAAGACAAACCTTGCCATGTGACTCTTAGACAAATGAAAACTAAGTTACACAGGTTGAATTTTAAATATGCGATCAGTGCATAAAGCAAAAAGAGGATATCATGATCTGTTTGCTGGCATTTCATGAGCAGGCAAAGAGGCCAACTGAGTTGAATTTATTATTTGTTCAGCTCTCATTCTGTGCACATGAGCACAGATGACTGGATCTATATTTGTTTATTATAATCCTTTTGTGTAATCTTTAAGGGCTCTGATTCAGGAAAGCAATTTCAAAGGAACTTAAGGACTTCCATCGAATTTAAGCAGAGGCTTAAATTTAAACAGGCGTTAAAGTGTTTTCCTGAATCTGTGGCTAAGATACTATGCAGATAGGCAGGTAACAAGGTAATTCTTCTCTGGCGCAGTGCAGAGGGGAGGACGAATTGCAAGTTTCATACTGCATGTCTTTTTATCTTCTAGCAAAGCCTCCCACAGCTATTTTATGATCCAATGACTCCCATGTGGAACAATGATTTTGGTTTCCCATTAGTATTTTCCATAGGATGAGCTATACGATGTGCTGTAAGAGGGAGTTCCTGAATGACTATGATAACATGTCATACTTATTTAGCAGTGATTTAGATCCCCAGTGATACCCTGCAGTGGTTTGTTCATTGATGTATTTTAAATTGCAATTCGTGCCCATTTTGAATCTTGAGTATGAGTTCACTCCAGAATATCGGGCATAGTGCTTACTACAATGAGTATCCTCAGTCCAGCAAACTCCTGCCGGTCGGCATAATACTTATTATAATGAGTAGCTCTATCGACTTCAATGGGACTATTCAGGGTGGCAAGTACTATGCTCAGTAGTAAGTGTCTGCAGGAACACAACCATGATTTGTATAAAAGAATGATTCTCAATATGTTTTCCAAGATCTTAAAGAAAAAAAGCATCAGATTTCCTCGTACTTGTGGGAACAGCTGAATGGCAACCTGAGATAGGACAGCATCAATGCAAGAACAGGAGTAAGAGTTAGTTGAAAGTAGTAACAGCAGGTTTGTGAGCTTAGTGACCTTGATGAGCTATGTTAAAAGAAGAGAGCTTGATTGCCAGATGGAGTTTTCCCGGGGCTCTGATGGGTCTATTGAATAGGCACATAAATTAGAAATGCACAGGATAAAATAACTTACAAGCTAAGAGTAATTTAAAGAAGATGGCAATGTTCTGGAACACACAGGACAGCAGCTGGTAGTTTCAGACCAGCAGAGTCACCTAGATTTTAAGACTACAACTGCTGAATTGCTGTGAAATCACTATAGTTTTTTCTTCTCTGCATTAGTTAATTTCTCCAGCATGAACAAATGATCATGAGCTCTGGGCTACTGCCTCAAACAAGCAGCATTAAGTAAGAAGAGTGGGAGGGGGAAGTGTAGCAAATTATGGAAATGTAGCATTCAAAGCATTATGCAAATTAGTGTGTATTTGAAATATTATTACTTACTTGATGTCTTGTTGATCTAATAATAGTCTTTACTTCCATTATGGAAAAAGAAAAAAATATGTAATATGACACTACTTTATCCTTACCGTGTTCCCATGAGGCTATCCAGGCTGTCAAAAAGCTCGATATGCAAATCTAAATATATGTGATTTAAGGGTGTAATGGGCCATGTGAAATCCACAAGAGTCCCATGAACTGTTAGAACACCAGCTGTGATTGCTCATTGCTGCTGCCCATGGAATAAGGATAAGGATATCCCAAAGCTGCCAGCTACAGAGCATTACCCAGATCCTACCAAAGAAAATTGGGAATTTAAAACTTTAATGTCTTTGTGTCATCCCACAGCTCTCACGTTCATTATTTCAGTGTCTGTAGCAGCCCTTGCAAACTGTGCTTCTCTGATGCTTTGAGGTCCAACCCAGCCTAGTTGGGGTTGTGTCACCTGCACTGTAACTCTGGGTGCCTTAAACGTTACGTTGCTGTGGCTCACAGCCCAGACGCCAGCGGACAAACATTCAGGTCACATCCTGGCTTCCACTGCCCATTACATTTTTCAGGGTGACCCACCACTGTGGATTTTCCCCAAAACCATCTTCCTGGTAGCGTCCAACCCTCTCCTGGAGCACTCACAAAAGTTATCAAGTTCACTGCTCCTTTAAAGAGACAGAAAACAGCAGCTCATTAATTTAACTGGAGTTGGACAAACACTTTTATTTCAGTCACAGCACTGTGTTAGTTTAGATTAAAAGTAAAATAAGTTTATGAAACAAAAAGTCATAGGTGTAAGTGATGCCAAGTATAAGGAATTACATTAGACAGGGTTACAAGCAAACAAAAGTAAAAAAATATATATATGCTCCTGAGATTAAAACTTAATTTCAGCAAGTTACAATCTTTGCCTAAGCAGGTTTCTCACCTAATCTTACTTCCGAGAGATTTCAACTCCCTTGGTTGAAGGATCCAACATTCTATGATTTCAAGAGTTCTGGCCCCTTTAGTGATGGACACGAAGATGGCTTTCTGTCCTTGTTTATACAATAAAAGCTGTGTTATCCAGCACTTTAACATCCTGAAAGCTCTAGAAACTGGCATTTCTGATATCTCCCAATACGAATCTTCAATCTAGTAACCAGGACTGATGCAGAAGCTAACCGGGACCGATACCGAAGCTATTCAGAACCCAAGTATTCCGAGAGCAGTTGGACTACACTCAAGTTAGCCGAGAAGAGCAGAATGCTGTTCTTTCTGTTTGTATCTACCATTGTGATCGGTTGGTTTACCTCTCATTGTATTGCCCTGTGTTTATCATAAAATATCAATGCCAGCCTACAATTACGGCATCCAAAATACCAGCAAAAAGCAATGGAGAGAAGCGTAAGAGAGTTGTGTTGACATGAAAACACATTTTTACACGTTTTGAAAATGGCAAGCATAGGAATGTTTGTTCATTTTATAGTATTCTAATTCTTTAAAAATTGGTAATTCACTGGTAAGTATAACTCTTAGTTAACCGGAATTTTTGGCTAATGGCGCTCTCCATTCTCCCAACATGCCAGATAACAAAGCTTTTACTGTATCTTCC